AGCAGTCTCCTGCTCACTCGTGCCCGCGTTGGCTTCTAACCATCTCACCGCCAGCATGGCACTAACCACCACAATCGACACTGGCTGGTTTTGGTCTGGCAACCCCGTGGAGTACAACTCCTCCACGTCCCATACTAACACCAGCTTCCCGCGCTTGGGGTACCATAACGTGTGCGCCAGGCAGTGACAAGGATACTCCCCATGGGTCATTAGGATGTTCCTTTGGGTCCGATACCCTGAAGCTCCTAGTAACGGTTCTACCGGACCCAAATGATGGTGCAGACGAGTGGAGAACAAGGCCAAAGTGGACGAATTCAATGAAGAGCTGTGGGACATAGTGGTGAAGTTTAAAGAACCCGTCCAGATAGGCACTGGACTGGACGAGAAAGTGAGGAAAGAGCTGCTTAAGAAGATGATTCGCCTAAGAAAGCAGAAGCAAAATACCGGGGCCAACCCTGTAAAGATAGCTCTTCTCTGAACAAAAAACTGATGATAAAAAAATTAGTGTCGAAATGGATGATAAAAATAAAACTAGTTTTATAATTAAAGATACTAATATTCTTAAGGCTAGAGAAGGGGGAGGCAAGAGACGGAGAGAGGGGATTTGTTTAGAGAAGTCGAGTCAGTAATGGTAGTGACGACGCTGCCGAGTAGAGGAGTGAGGTCTAGGAAGAGAAAACGGGAAGCAGAAGAGGCAAGTCCTTCGACGGATGCGGTTTCAGAAAATAACTTGAAGGTGATGGCTCCCATGGTTCTGGCGCGATGGAAGACAGCGGCCTACAAGGGCGGCTCGGCACTCAGGAGTGTGGCTGAGGTGTTAGTCGGAGTAGAGGCTTCAACGACTCCAGGGAAAGAAGAAGAATTCAAACCTCAGAAGGCGAATGCGAAGAGGGGCTCCATCAGTGGACAAATGTGGAAAGTGGATGTGGGAAGTGGATGAAGTGGAGCAAGTGACAAGTGACCCACTTGAAAAACGTGCGACGAGGAACACCGCTCGTCCTTGGTAGATAGCCCTGGAGACAACAAGTGAACTGGAGAATTGCCTGAAAGGACTTGATCGCGGGGTATCCCGGAAGCGCCGGAATTGGGCTACACACTAGAGGGCCGAATTTGTCAAACTAGAGTTGGAGAGCCAGCTGGGGGCGAACTTGGGAAAACTTGCTGCTGGAATTTTTTTGAAGATGCGATGAGAGCACTCTCGTCTGCACCATCATTGATGGCGAACCCTTTTGTCAGGACAGCCGGACAGTTGCTGTTTTCATGGAGCTTGGCGGGAGTGGCGTTGGAAGCGTTGATTTCGTACGACAAACTCAAACTGGGCAAAAAGGGTTTGCGCCTGCAACACATTGCTCGAGATAACTCGAGATTGAGTCTAGCGAGGAGGAAAGATGCCACCTGTCTCTTAAGTTGGATGATGTTAATGATGTCTGACACCGCCATCCAGACGTGCCAACAGAGAGCAATGGGAAGCGAGACAATGGAAAGGAAAATCTTCGCCATCGTCCTGAATGTGTACCAGAGTACTGGGATCGCCAAGGGGGATGGCTCAAGGCAGTCTCTAGAGAACCATGGAAAGCTTAATGAGATAAAGGAGGTTCTCCAACAAGAAATTAGGCAAGAATCATGATGTGCATTGCAACCTGGCTCTGGCAGAAGACTACTCAAGGCCCAAGAAACGGGGAGGTTATCAATATGTGTCTCGAGTGATGGGGATAGCTTACAACCCTTTCTTGGACTCGGAAGCTGGAAACGCTCGCTTGATTTTTGAAGTGGCGGAACTGTTAAAGTTCTGCACGGAGAAAATAGTCGAGAGTGACCCGACGGCAAGGGAAAGACCGAGCCTAGGTCTGCTACTTGAGAAGAGGCCGAATGTTATTAGTGGGCCGCGTTCGGCCAAAAAGGTCAAACTAAGACTGGGAAGCGGAGACGACATGTTGTCTACGAATTTGGGGACCATTTGAAACTTGCTGAGACCATCTTGGTGCCCACATCCTCACGCGAGGTTGATCGAAAAAGTCACGGAGTGGGTGAGATTATCGCCAGCGAAGGATAAAGATTTGGGGAATTTGAACATAGTGCATCAATTGATCCTACCTCATCAGGGGGAATCGGAGGGAGCAACGAGCAAGCTGGATATGCTAATAAAAAAGATGGAGCCAGGCAGTTGTCTGGACTTGGAATGCGGAAGAGGAGGGCATTCTTGTGATGGGCGGTACTGTGTCAGAATACAATCCTTCCAGAGGGAGGATTTAACCACTTGGTTCGGTGACATCACGGAGAAGGAGAAGAGCGAGGTGCAGATAGTGGCTGAGTGTTACGCAAGCACCACTGTGAATGTAGCGACGTCATTGGGATTCTTTTCGAGGATGTGCGGGTTACCATCTCCAGAGATGCTAGAGTCCGAACACCATTTGATGACAGCGTCAAGCGTGGAGTCTTGGCCAGGAGTGAGTGTTGCAAAAGATCCAGAAGCACATCAGGGGATGGAAGATCGGTCTTGGGGCGGAGGTGGGATTTCCTGTGTGCGAGGCCTACAGTTTACCAACGAATCTGAAGTCTCTGTTGAGATCAGTCATGGCCAACTTGTGCGGAAATCGTCATCCATTACACAAGGCGGTGGTTGAAGCATCTAGTCAGAGGGAATTAATCGAAAAGGCTTTTTCGGTGCCGAAGTGTGTACGATTGGCACGAATGTCGCACCACTTTCATAGGCAGTGCTTGGAGATTGAAGAGAAGACTTGAGTGAGAACTGGGGTTAAGAGCTCTGGAGTTTAGAAAAAGAAAACACGAGTGACATTGAAAGACAGATTACGATTGGGAAAGCGATGATTAGTGCTGGAACCTCTGCTTGTTATGGGATTTGGAAGAGATTCGGTCAATAGGACTACCCAGTCACCAGCAGAAGGTCACTCTTTTTGTGGTGAGTTTGATACTGGCGTCACGATGGATCGAGGAGAACGTGACGAAATATCGAGTTTCGAGGGCACCAACAGTGCCGTCAATACATTCCATCAACTACAGCCGGAGGCTTGAGTCGTTCGAGACTGCGTGTAAGACTTTCGCTGTGCTCAAGGAGGTGAGGCACGTGTGGATTCGCATAGGATTCATTTCATGGTTGCGGGCGACGCTGACATCTTGGCTGTACACGGTGACGAAGGATCACATAAAGAAGCATCAGAAAGAACATCGACAGATTCTGGCCGAGATCGGGCCCGAAACCTTCAGGAGACCCTTGCTAACTCATCATAACTGGTTCTGGTTGAAAAAGGGGTGGTAGAGTGTCTAGAGATAATACCCAGGCAAGTGAATCAATATTGGAGCAGGACTTGGCGAAGAACGTGAGCTTGAGCATGCAGAACTCATTTCGCTTGAATAGGGAATCGAAAGTGAAGGGTCTACCGAATCAGGCGGAAAGATTATAAGGGCAGAAGGAACGGATGCGAGCCTACGAAAAGCTGAATGCATGGCAAGAGATCGTGATCAGTTCCGATGATGAATAAGAACTGGCGAGGCAAATTACGGTGTCGAGTGTGTCAGGACAAAGTACCCCGAAAACGAGGGGCACGAACTGAAAAAGGTGTTCAGGGGTTGGTTCTTGAGTCATGAGCGGAGCGAGGAAAGAAAAAGGGGCCTGAGTGTGAACTCAGATGAAATCCGAGAGCACGGAAAAGAAATTTTAATAAAAGAATTATTGTTATTAGTATACTATATCTTGAGAACGCGTTAATATTGTAAATTCAAAAAACGTTTTCGATCATTTTTTGCATCTTCAGGTTTTAAAAATTCTAAACTATCTTTTCAAAATGATCAAAGATCATAAAAAGTGTCACACACATCATTACTTCAAAATTTTAAAAATTCAACCAATCAAAACTTTACAAATGTCACTGAAATTATGTAACAACTATTATGTAACATTTTAAAACATTTTGTCACAAATTTCTGAGAGTTTTCTACATTTTTATTTCATTTTCGTATACTATATCTACTATATAGATCAAAATGCTGCATGACAATTTTCTGAATGGGCAAAATAAAAAAATTTTAATGGTAGCTTACAAAGCGAAAATTGACGGTGCGATAATGTGACAATTTTGCATGGCTGTGAATTTTGGGGTGTAGATAAAGTTAAATCTACTGCAAACTTCTGTAAATGACCACTGGCACTGTATCTTGAGACGCACTCAACATCCTGGGGGCTCACTGACAGACGACGACACGCGATGAGGACAGCGATCTTGAGTCCGGGGAGTATGTGCCAGTCGGTCATATTTGGAAGTATCAACAGTTGGTCTTGTTTTTCTTAAACTTGCACTTCTAACCCATTTTTTCTACTGTATGTAGTGTCTTCAGCTAAATAAAATTGTTGATCCTCCTCCATAACTACCCTTATTCTTTTTGATGTCTAGTTCGATAGACTTTTTTGAACTTTTTTTGATTTTTTCTGGTGTTGTATCGCAAAAGGCGCGAAGCTCAGCTTCGCATGTGTATAATATCTCATATTTCGTCTTTTTTCCTGATTACTGATTATAATAACTACAGTTACTGTTTTTGTTGAAAATAATCTTCAATGCAAAATCTATTATAATTGTGAATATAAGTAAATTTGACATACACTTGCTGTTTGAATTAATTTCGAAATTTTTTGTTTTTCATTGTCCGAAATGCGCAGAATTTTGGGCTTTGAAGCCATTTATAGCTCAAAATTTGTTCAGACTTCTAATTGAACTACGTTATCAAAATTTTTGTTGAGGTGTTTGCATGACATAGTCTCAAAAAAAATTTAATCTCATTTCTTAGGCTTGTTGCCGTGCTAATTTTGATGTATCGCAAGTGGTGCGAAGGTTCGCTTGTGTCCGTTAAATTTGTCTTCTGGTAAAATTTTTTGTATGACAAGTGGCGCGAAGGTCCGTCTTGGCTCATCGTAGGCTATTAAATAATGCCTAGATTAAAGTAGACATCATATTCTATCTTTCTTTGTATCAATTCGTTGTAGTTTAAATTTTTGCTTTTAATTTCAGATGCCTTCTCGTTTTCAGATGCCTAGTACTGTACGGCTAAGGGATCTGATAAGGCAGGTACGGGCCTGCAGGACACAGGCTGAAGAACGAGCAGTTGTGAACAAAGAATGTGCAACGATAAGAAATTCGTTTCGTGATGACGATAACGAAAACAGATGCAAGAACATCGCTAAATTGCTTTATATTCACATGCTCGGATATCCAGCGCACTTTGGGCAGTTAGAGTGCCTGAAATTGATAGCTTCGCCAAAGTTTTCAGACAAGAGGATAGGCTACTTGGGTGCCATGTTATTGTTAGATGAGAAGCAAGATGTTCACTTACTTATTACAAACTCTCTCAAAAAGTGAGTTCAAAAGACGTCCTTGTAATTTTATTTATATTTAATCAAAGTGATTAATAGTATTCAGTGATTTTGATGCATGCTTCGGCTTTCGGGTCGCATTAAAAAAAATTTAAAGAACAAAAACTGTTCAAGAAAATTACCTTGAACAAAAGAAAGTTATGGTAAAATTTCTTATTCGAATGGGAATATTGAATAGGAAATTTTATCTTACATTTCTTTAGTTCAATGGATGGGGAAAAATTTGGTAACTTTTTTCTTTTACATGTTGAATGAAACACTGAAGCCGAAACGTGCATCAACCTCACTGAACAAGCAGGAAAGGCATTCGAACTCATTGTGATTTAAAAACAGTCGAATACAATCAATTTGTACCATGGTGTCACTGTAGCGACTTCGTGGAAATATATTTTAGAAATAGCGAAAAGTTCTGATAAATAAAAATACGGATTCCGTAAAATGATAATGGCAATTTTTTAGCGACATGACACACAGCAATCATTACAATGTAGCGCTTTCACTGTGTACTCTGGGTGCAATTTGTTCCACTGAGATGTGTCGCGATCTGGCTGGCGAAGTTGAGAAGTTGCTGAAGTCGTCCAACTCATACATTAAAAAGAAGGTTACTTCTTTTGAAACATAGACGGCCGTCTGAATCTTTTGAATGGGTTTTTATCGTTTTTGAATTTAAATAGTTCAAAAGATGTTTTTTTTGGGTATTAATGGCGCTTAATGAGGCTGCTCTTAATTGATGTTTTAAAGCGTGCTAAACACTTCTTATCGGATCCCTAAATGTATTTCGGTGTTTTTGACGGAAAACCAGGCGCTACAATCATACTTCGGATGAGAATGAGTGATGCATGATATTAAGCCACTTCTATCGTGCTTTGAGCGCCAATAAAAATTTCCCAAAATAGCAAAGGCTGCAAAATTTAGCCGTTCTTATTGTTTTGACTATCGATAATGAATGATTTGCGCTCTTAAGTATTGAAACCTTCGTTTAACCAGTCCTAAAGCAATTTCAGTCTTTGAGTAGCAGTAAGATAACGGTGATCGGAGTATTCTGCTAGTTTCAGAGCAACAGTTTACTTTTCGGCTATTCTTGCTTCTTTTTTAGGCCGCTTTGTGTGCAGCGAGAATCATTCGAAAAGTACCCGAATTGATTGAGATGTTCCTGCCAGCGAGTCGCCAGCTACTGCAAGAGAAAAATCACGGCACTTTGTTAGCAGGCGTTGTGCTTATCACTGAAATGTGCACTAAGAGTCAAGACTGTCTGATTCACTTTCGAAAAGTATGTTTGGTTTCGGTTTAAGTTTTTTCATTTATAATGTGAATTCTAAGACATGGAGCTTGCTGTTATTTAGGGAGAAGTGAGTATTCATTGGTGTAAGGGCTTCGCTTCTTTGTCGTCGACTAAATTTGGGCGTAATAATTTGTTTTGGGTATCTATAGATAGTGTGACTCGTCGCTGTATTTCAACTACACGCGTGCGAAGTTACTGATTTCTATTCAACAGATTTGTCAAAGTTTCATTTCACTCAGTAACAATAATGTTTCATTACATGTATTTTCAACGAATACTAAAGTTATTTACTTAGTTTGTTATAATTGAACGCAAAGCAGTAAAAACGTTGTTTTATTTAGTTGAAAGTAAGTAATTATTGTTCTGACTTTCGAAGAAAGCGCGGAACATTTATTTTAATTAATTGCCGTTTATTTTTTTTTAGCTTTGAACAATTCACATGGTTGTTCCTATGAATTCAGGGTTGTTATATAGATATAGTGTGATACCAGTTTTATTAAGCAATTAATGCCCTCTAATTTTAGATGGTGCAAAATCTGGTGCGCATTTTGAAGAATTTGACGATGTCTGGCTATTCTCCGGACCACGATGTCTCGGGTATCAGCGATCCTTTCCTTCAGGTTAGAATCAGGAAAAAAAATTGTCTTCATTTCCAAAGTCAAATTGGAAGTAGGTGAAGTTGTTACAAAAGTCAGTAATTGTTGAAAAGTGTTAGATTTTACCTATACACTTCATTTTAGTATAAATGATAAAATGGTGCACTTCAGTATTATTTCTCAAAGCTAATCATCAATATATCATTGATAACAAAAATTTCAAAAAATTTTACCAAAATTAAACCGTGTGTGGTCAAACAGGGGCAGATCTAGGATTTTCTCGGGGGGGGGGGGGGGATTTTCAAAAATTTTGTCAACCTTTTTTTTCGGTCGTCCAAATTGATTTTCTGAGCTCTTTCATTGTACTAAAAAGATCCCGCTTTGGCCAAATTCGGCATTTTGGCACTCCCCATTCAAACTTAGTATAAATTGACGCCAAAGGCTCCTTTGAATAATTTTAGGTCCGTCACCCAAAAAATTGATATCCCAAAATAGTACATAGGGGGACCCTTTGGGTCGGCAGGGAGTCGAAACCCCCCTTCTAAATCCACCCCGCTGGTCAGAAATGATGTCCATTTCAATGCAGGTTCGGATCCTGCAGCTTCTGCGCATTTTGGGTCACAATGACGCGGACGCTAGTGAGGCGATGAATGACATCCTGGCGCAGATTGCGACCAACACGGAGACTAGCAAGAACGTCGGCAACTCCATCCTGTACGAGACTGTCATGTGCATTATGGACATCAAGTCAGAGAGTGGACTAAGAGTGCTGGCTGTGAACATACTTGGACGCTTCCTCCTCAATGCTGACAAAAATATCAGGTACACTTCATGCGTATGCAAAATGAACAAAAAGCAGGAATTGTTGGAAACCGATTTTATCGTATAATTATTCAAATAATAGAAGCTCGGTTTAATTGACTTAGATTGAGGCACAGGTTAATAGGCTGCAGTTTTGAGATGGTTGAAATTGAAAACAGCAACTGCAAATCAACGATCGATGTGAATTTCCCAGTGAGCTTCAGTTTTTTCCTTTGCGCTTATTTGCATTGATGACTTACAATTTCGATTTTCATGTTCTGTGAATTTTTTAATACCTCATTTTGGATCTTGACTACCTTATTAATTAGGATACGCGTAATTGTTGAATAATCCCGTAGCTATTTTTGGTAATTATTTTTCAAATGGGGATTGTTTGCAAAATTTTCATTTTAAATACTTTACCAAGTGCCGTAATAAACTTATTTTGGATACTTTTGTGGTGTGTTCAGATATGTTGCTCTGAATACCCTCCTGAAGACAGTGCATATAGATTACAATGCAGTGCAGAGACATAGGTCCACAGTGGTGGAGTGTCTCAAAGATCCCGACATCACAATCAGAAAGTAAGACCACGACATCCCTTTTTTACTCAATTATAATAACGAATCCACTTTTACTCAATATTAATAACGACTCAGTAAATCCATCCTCTAATTAAGTCAATTTAAATCTAATGAAAAAGAAGAGTTCAGAAAAAAACTAGAATAAAAAACTCAGCGGATGCCGTCTGAGATAAGGATTTTCTGTTCATCCGTTGGTTTTTAGACATATAGTTCATTCGACTGTTCGTTTTTGACTTTTACCGAAAAAATAAGCAAGTGGTTTGTTTGTCTGTCAACTAATTGTTCATTCAAACCTAGTGAAAAGGTTTTTTTTAAAAAAAAAAAAACTAAAATAAAAAATTTCTTTATTTTCAACTTTGGGCAATCGCGGATAGCTGGTGTAAAAATCAATAGATTTAAAAGTTATTTGTTATTCTGGCAGTTTTGTTTCTACTGTTTTTTTTCTGCTAAAAAGCAAGCAGTTGGTTTGTGTTTGTCTGTGCTTGCAAGGAGAGCGATGGAACTGACTTTCTCCCTCATGAATCCGAGCAACATTCGGACTCTTATGAAAGAAATGATGAGTTTCCTCGAGTACGGCGCAGATGCGGAGTTTAAGTTTTACATCACGTCCAATATATTCCTGTGCGCCGAAAAGTAAGAATCGTAGTCGATGTGTGAAACATTCATGCAACCAAATATTCCCCTTAGTTCACATGCAGGGTACTGTGCAAACATCCGATATGTCAAACATCCGAAAAGTGGAAAACCGTTGAAAACGTCCAAAAAGCAGCTTTAGTAGGGCAAACATCCGACGTTTTACTAAGGGCAAATATTATTTTTCATAATATTCTTAGTTTCATATCATTAGGTAATTGTTATGCAAGTTAGAATGTTTGAACAGTTTCTCATCTCATATCGGATGCTTGCAGTAGACCCTGAAATGAAATAGCATGATTCGATAGACAGTTTTGCAACGACAAATTGCAACGATTATGTATTTGTTTTCCCCAAAAAGATGCATGTTAAAAGTTAAGACCAAGTAACCCTGTTGTACAGACGTAAGGTCCTTTCTGTTTTTGAAATATTTAAACAGAACAGTTATGCACGGTCAATTTGAAAAGTACTACATGCTTCCATATGCTAATAAACCTGGGTGTCTGAAAAACAATCCAGGCCAAAAAAATTCATGCCAATAGATTTTTCATTAACTTCGCCAGATGCCTTCTCAAATGTAAACGAACATAGTGAGCCACTTATTTTAGTGTTGTATGTTTTTTTTCAAACTCTTAGAGCGTAAAAATGTGTTTTCATTTTGGCTCAAGGGTATTAAAGCTCATCTGCGTAACGGACGTTTTCCCAAGTTTTATCGGCTAACACTTTTTTCAATTTAAACATGGCGCTGGAAATAATCATTTTTTTTGTAAACAATTTCATTCGGATCAAAAACTGCAAAAAATGCTTATGATTAAAAAAAACTGATCATAGTCTTTCCTGCATAACAGTTTTTGCCATTTCTCGGCTTTTTCGTCGCTCTATTTTCTGGAATAATTTTATTTGGGATTCTAGACAATTTAACAGAGATTGCTCATAGAAAATTAATTTTGAGAGATTTTGGGTTCAATTTTTCTTTTCTTGAATTGTGCTCGACTCTCTGCTTCGCATCTGTGTTTCTTGTTCGTTTTTCGTTATTTTTTAAGTGAATATTTCTTGAAGTGATGCAGATCTCTGCTTCGCTTCTGTGTCTCATGTTCGTTTTTCGTAATTTTTTAGTTGAAAATTTTTTGGCGAGTTAGTGGATGTCCATCCAAATATTGTGGGCTTCATTACCGCTCGATAAGTTTTACCTCATTGCTAATTCAACGCCGGCAACGTTTTTTTGACATTTTACTCAAAATATGGAAATTTTGATAGATATAATTTTTTCGGCTTCTTTTTCAGCTGCGATCAGCTTAGTGTATTATTACGAACCTTTTTTTTTCTAACCTAACTCGCAAATAAAAGTGTTCATTTATTTGGAAATTGTCACTGTAACATTGGAAATTGCATTGGATCTGTTCTCTGCTTTACTTGTGGCTAGTGATTGTCGGCTAATAAGCTTCCGTGGCTGAGTGGTTAGTGTGTGAGGGTTAGTGTGCTTAATCTCTAGGTCACTAATTTATTTTTAGCCTAATGGCATTCGTCTCCTTTTCTGTCGGCTAGTTTGACCTACTATGCTTCTGTTGTATCGCAAGCGTATAATATTTTTTTAAGAACAGGAAATAAGACTACGAAAAATCGTCTGCGGAAGGTTTCAAACAGTCGGCTAAGTCGAATTGTCAACTGCCTAATAGTTTTGAGGTTTTTGGACGTATTAATAAAACTTGTATGGTTATTATACACGAATATCATCGATGGTATTTGTGGCTTCATCAATGATTATTTTTCAACCTAGCGAGCGTAGTGTAATAGAACGACTATTTTTTTCCAAACAAAGTCGCAAATAGTGGTGCCCTTTTTGGTGGCACCTTTACGGCTTTTTGATAGCATGTGCATTGACATTCGATTATTAATAATTTAACACAGTTGATGCCTTTTAAATTCATGAAATGAACCCAAAAAGTCTATTTGTTTCAAACAACAACATTAATTACGCTTCTGTTAGCAAGCGTTATAAAAACTCGCTTTCAGAAATTTTTCAACTCAATATATCTCGGAATTCCAATTTATTACATGCATAGTAAGTGTGGTTGCTTTCAGTTTGTTATGAAGAGTCATGAGCGTAGTGAAAATACTATCTTATAGGTCTTGGTGTTTTTTTTTGAAAAGTATCTTCGCCCTCAAATTTGATTTTTCGCGGTTTAACTTTCAATCTCAAATTCATTTGCATAATTGGATTTGAATTACGCTCTCCAGTAACCTAAACTCAAATGGAGCAAAAAAATTAATTAATGAATAAATTAAGTAATTGGTTTTAGTTAAATGAATTTTTATTTTTAAAATTGCCAATGGAGTTCCAATTTTCTCTAAACGGGTTTGTTTTATGAAAAAATTGTATGCAAAAAAGATTCTTAAATTGCAAATTCGATGTATGTTTTTGTTCGAAAATATCGTAAATAATCGAAGCAATCAGTCATGTTTTAAGACTAGTGAACGTAGTGAAGACTCTTATATAGGTCTTGGTGATTGTTCCGACCATTTGACAAATGGGGAGGAACTTGTATTCGGGTGTTTTTTCCACGCAAAATCAGGTTCCACAAATAATCTTTAGAAGGAGTCGAGTGTGCATCATATTAATGCCCTTACAGTCGTGATTCGAAAGACATCAAAACGTTGTCCCTGTATAATACAAAACAGGTATGAAACTTTTGTTTTTAACTCTTAATTCGAGCGAATAAAGCTAGCGAGCATGCTTGCAATAGATTATTTTGATTGCTTAATAGCTTAAAATAGCCTAATTTAAGCCTTGAAAACTATGTTTTACTCGAGTAAAGTTAATTTTTCTGAGATTTTTAGCGCCTTTTTGCGATCAAAAACTTCGAAAATTCTAAAAACTACTTTTTTTTTCTAATAATTTTTCGACAATTTTTTAAATTTATTTTGCTTGTAACGCTTGTGGTTAGCAGGCGTTATCAAATCGGAATATGTAATTTTTTCAATTAACAACTTGTTTGACAGAACCATTTGAATCAACTGGTATCTTGGTTCATAATGAATTCAATTTCTTAACGTCTTTGGCCCCCTTAGTCGGAGGTAACGAATACGCTTGTGACCTTAGAGATCCTGGGTATTAATCTGACAGGAGCTGTTGTTTTTTTTTCAAACGGGAAATAGTCCGTTTCTAAAAAATTGTAGGCTTATTATTGTCTGCTTATGTTTTGTCGGCTTAGTTGCCATATTGTAGAATTGGTTTTTTTTGTTTTTTTTTTAAACATTCTTGTTGTTTTTAGTGTTCTGATTTACCTCTGCTGTTTGTAATTTTTGTAAGCTTGACTTCGTATGTTTTCTTTTTGTTTTTTTCTTCGTTCAAAAACTTTTTTCTGCCCAAATGATTTCGGCCTGTTTTTTGTTATCGGCTTAGTGACCTAATTTTTTCGATTCGTTTCACCTCTGGATCGCACAAGATGCCAAAACTCTTGATAGAATAATAGTTCAAGTTTTTCATGATAACAATTTTTTTCCGGCTTTTTTTTTCCTTTTTCTTCGGCTTGATTGGTTTCGGTCGATATTATATCTGCTTATTGGCCTCATATTGCGTCTTTCGACGAGCGGAAAAAGTTTTTTTTTTGTGGGTGTCTGGGTTTCGAGGCTAAGGGGGTCTCAATAACTTTTGTTAGTCTTAATTTTTTTAACAGTTTTTAGGAATTTTTTCGTTTTTGGGCCTAATAGGTTGCGGCCTATATGTATCGCAAGTGGTGCGAAGCTCAGCTTTGCCTCTGTGTTTAATTATGACTGTCAAACTTGCCTAAGCTCTAGTTTTTTTTCGTTCAAATCCTTTTAGTACACCTGCAGAAAAAACGGCACTAGTTGAAAAAAAAAAATTGTTTGTTGTAGTTTTCTCAAATTGGGTCGATTTTAAATAAAAAGTGCAAATCATAAATTGTTGTAGAAATTCAAAGAGCTTTAAGGGCATCTACTTTTTTATTTGAAATTCGAAAGTTGAGATTTTTTCTTAAAAAAAAAAACAAGTCAGTTTTTTTTCTGTTTACTTGCCTTCATTGCTCTTTTCCAATTGGCTATGCTTTTGGTTTTCTCGAAATTTGTGACATGTTTCCAACTGTTGGCTCGACAATGGTTCTGAGAGTGGATTTACTGAGTCGATTCCATTTTTAATGGAACAGGTTAAGCAATCACTTGAGCGTGAGATGTATTTCAAGTGGTTTTTCAAAGGCGTGCGCTGTTTCTCAGTTTTGAATTGGTGAATAAAAGCAACGTGCGCATGATGAACAAAGAACTTCTGGAGTTCCTGGCCGAACCAGACAACAGACAGTTCCGAGAATACGTAACAAGCAACATTTTTGCAGTGGCCGAAAAGTATGTGTTACCGTTTCATCTGTCAATCATTTCCGGGATCTCTTTAATTACCCCTACTTACCCCCATTGCAAAAGGGTTATTCTCTTATAGGTAAAAAAATTCACAAATGCTTAAAGTTGATTTTGTCGTTTGTAAGGGCAATTACTTCTTAGTAGGTACCATCAAGGAGGGTGATAGTTAAAGAGATCCCATTCTCGTTTCATTTATTATTTTTAGACATACTTACATTTTTAAAAAATCAAAAAATATTTTTGAACTTGCATGCTGGAATGTTAAGTAGAAGCATGTCAATTGCTTTTCCCCATGTGCTTTTTTTTCTATTTGAAATAAACTATTGATATTTTGTTTTTTGATGATTTTACTTAAAAATGAGATGTATTTTTTCAGGTACGCGCCGCACAAACAGTGGCATTTAGACACTACAACCAAGGTTCTCACAATGGTAAGTGGACATACCAGTTTTTGCTATTATGGTTTCGACTGCTTAATACTACTACTATTTTTTAACGATTATTTCCTATTATTTCTCCTTCTTTTCTTGCAGTGTGTCGTCTAATTTAGTTGACCTTTTGACCTTTCCTTTGTAAAATAACCAGAAATCTGAAAAAAAAAATTGATTTAAGTATGAAAGAACGAAGTCAGTTTGACCTATATAGGTACTGATGATTTTTTTTTAGGAAAGTCTTGAAACTCCAGACATGCATTCATACAAATTCATGCATCTATATATGCATCTTTTCAGTTCATTTCAAATGAATGCATCAGCTGAAAGTTTAAAGGGGTGCAATTACAAATGGGAAATTTGGGTGAAAAAAATTGATCGGTTTCTAGCTTTGAAAGTCGATTTTAATCAGTGATGTCCAATTAAAAAAACTATTTAAATTAATTTAAATTTTCATTTAATTTTCAAATTAAATGTGAAATTATGAGCCCACTTAATTTAAATCGAAATAATTTAAATTGCTCCGGCGGTATTCGATTCGACGCCAAAGTTACAGTTTTCTCATGATAGTAAATTTAACATTTCACAGTTCCGCGGAAAAAGCAAACAATCTAAATTTTCACGACAAATTTGATGAATATTTGTAGCAAATAGACATACCCAAAAAATTGCTGTGGAATTCGTTTCACAAAATTGCGAAAAGTACCTAAAATTGGCAGAAAACGTAGGAGTAAAACAGACTAAAGAAAAGTTTAAAATTCTAAAGGAAAATTTAAATAGTTTTTGAAAATTTAAATTAATGCCAACAATTTGTATAATTTTCTTAAACAATTTTAATTTAAATATCAATTTTTATTTTAAGTGGACATCACTGATTTTAAAGTTTAGATTTCCCAGCGGAATAGAAAATTTACTCATTGATCCAGTTCTAGAAGTTAGGCTAATTAAAAATTATTAGGCCAATCATAAGCAGTTCTTGAAATTCAAAGGGCTTTAAATTGATATATGTTTTCGTTGAAATTCGAAAGTTGAAAAATGTTCAATCAAATTTTTCTCGAATGATTGTTTTTTGTACACTACCAACCTTCTGTTGGCTATGTTATTTTAATCAATTTTTTTGCATTTCTTTTCTAAATTCAGTGTTTTGGATGTATAAATTATTATTTTGTTAAATTGTTTGTTTAAAACGAACAGTTTTTGCTAGCTGTTTTTGCCTTTTTTGAGTTTGCGATTTGCTCTTTTGTCGATAAAGGACACAATGATTTGCACTTATTCAGAATTAGTTATCATTTTGTGATAAAACACAAACAAGACTGCTCGTATATCAGGGCAAAGCCCTGAATGTTCCAATTGTCCCTTAATTCATATCGAATAGTTTGTGGGAAAAGAAAATATTGAAAACCTATAAGTTTTGGACAATATCAAAGTGTAAAATTTTGAGTCGTACAAAATTAATACGACCGATTACTAGCCTCAATTCAATTTGGAACGATTTTGTTGTGCGGGATAATTCGCCACGCATGAATAATTCTGGTTACGCTCTCAGCATTATGAATAAACTCTTCAAAGCGCTCATAATTTAGTCCAGAACATGGCCAATTGGGCAATTTTCCAACCAGCAGAATTAAAAAAAAATCATTGGAGGTAAAATAACTTATTAAATTTGAACTCAGGAAGTCGATATCTTCAATGGGGTTTAAAAAATTTAAGTTGAAAACTACTATTTTGATCGGCGAAAATTGACTGAATAAAAAAACCTTTCCGTTTTCTTCGAAAGTCGGAACAATAACTGCAAATCTCGTTAGTAACCTTATAGGGTATTTTCTGTTATGCGACCCAAAACTGATCTTTTTGTTTTTCTATCGAACTATTTCTCGGATCAGATTCCTTGAAACTAAGTACAGGTAAAGAAAATCAAGTTTTTCATAAAAAACAGAAGCTCAATTAACAATTTGGGTCTTTTTACTTATTCCGCCCTAATATGTAACTATCACAATGTGTTAACCAGAAATGATAATGCTCGAACCTGCTTGGCTGAAATTGATTGTGTTGTTAGAACATAGTTTCAAAAACTCATTCATCTAATTATTGATGAGCTGTTGAACTACTTCGGGCGGAATAAGTAAAAGTACCCAACAATTTTCTTATTTGGGGCCGTACAACAGAAAAAACCAGTCTATTCTTACTACTCCATTGCAGGCTGGCAACTACGTTAGAGATGACCTCGTTTCGAGCATGGTGCATTTCGTGTCTCAGACGCCCCAGTTACACGCACACGCGGCCAGGAAATTCTACAAAGCACTGCTTGAGGAAAATGTCATTGAACATGTAAGTTTGCAACAAACACGAATTTATTTCAATCCATATTGTTTCACGCAGATAACTGTTGAATAAACGAGTAAAATCACTTTTTGTTTCAGAATTGTGAATAAAAAACGAAAAAATAAGTTTTGCGGTTGATATCGGGCTGTTCGAACTTCAAGAAACCAGTTGAGAGTGGATTTTTCATTGTTATTTCTTGATCCTAATCTTAAACTCGAAGATTACCTAGATTTTTGTTAAAATATAAAATATTTCATTGCCGCTTCACTTCAAACCGTACAAAATCCTTGACAAGGATAGACTAGGAATTTTAAGATGTGAAAACTGTTCTATTTTAGCAACCTCTGATCCAAGTGTCTGCATGGTGCATTGGGGAGTTCGGAGACCTGCTGCTGACAGATCAATCTGAAGGAATCGTGAGTAGAATTTCCTATCTGCACAAATTTAAGAAAAAAAAACACTCAACTATTGCTTGTCTGATTACGAGAAAACTCATCGGTTTAATTGAACAGTATTATCTAAACTCGATGGCTCTTTTATGTAGAATTGGTCGAAAATGTTTATTGTAATGGCGCTTAATAACTTGAACTGTCAATTTTTTTGTGACTTACATAATAATTGTTTTATTTGTAGTTGTTTACTTGAAGACTATTTTTTGTCACATGATGACTATGTTTTTGTTTGTATGATGGCACTAATTGTTGTTGTTTAGGTGTCGGAGGAGGCGGTGGTGACAACTTTGGTGGGGTTCCTGCAAAGTACACATGCCACGCCCATCACCAAAGACTACATCATCAACGCCCTCATGAAGCTCAGTACCCGATTCCAGAACACAACTAAGTCAGTCCTCTCAATACTTCCGCTCAAATTAATAGTGGCTAAAAGAACCAAGTAAGATTAATTGCTAGTGGGTGAAATCATAACGACGCTTATCTAACAGCAATATTTAAATGTGATGTCAAGTGAAACTTTTATTGTAAGTTCATATAATCGATCGTTGTGATGTGAGTTTATAGAATCGAATCGCAAAAAAGTTGTAGTGTTGTATGCAAGTAGATGCCCATAAGTTTAAATTATCTTGCCGTGTATTGTAGATACCAACACATAGAGTCGTAAGTTGAGCTGTTGCTCGATTCAATCACAGTTACTGTTTTAATTGAATGAAATGTTGGTTGAAACTGACAACCTACTGACGAGGTGTGGGGTGGTTTGGTCTTAGAGCTAACTGTGACCGGTGATGGTGCTTTTCTTACCTTTAAACTACACTGGGAAAGGATGCTAGCATCGTTTTTGACTTGACTACTTTTAAGGGTTTTTTCAAAAAAACATATTGCTTCTATGAATTGGACTAACAAAGCACAATTCATACAACAACAGGTGATTTTTTTTCGGGACCCGATAGCATATTTTTGGGTTTTTTCCAGAATAATTTCTGGTGCTTTAGTTTACTGGTGGGGTAATTAATTAATTATAGACCCCAAAAAATTCAAACAAAGCAAATAAATATGCAGCTATAGTTTTTTTTCTATCGGATTGTTTTCCAGCTTTGTTGTTCCGACCATTTGAAAAATGTGGAAAAACTTTGTACTCGGGTGTGTTTTTTTTTTGCCACGCGAATTAAGCTACTACAAATATTCATCGGGATGGGTCGAATGATATATCATATTCAAGCCCTTTCAGTCGTGATTTGAACGACATTAAATAATTTGGATAAAAGTTCCTGTGTCGAGAAAAACCAGTTTGAAGTGGCTAAGTAGACTTACAATAGCTTATTAATGCTTAATTTAAGCCATGGAAGCTTAGTTTTACTCGATTAAAGTTGGTTTTTGGAGTTTTTCAGCGCCAATTTGGGAATCAAAAACTTTCTGCAAAAACTTTTGAATTTTTAATGTATACCGGCCTTAACGTTTTTAGAGGTTGTGCCTACTGTTTTTTTTAAATTTGTTCGCCTTTTGGTTTTGACTGAGACTTTCTGTGGCGTTAGTTTTGCTCAGTTTTTACCACGGCTGCGTTTTATGCTTTTCTGGGTTGGTTTTTGTACCCGGCTGGATTGCATTTCCAGAAATTTTCGACTAGATAAGCCCACTCCTTTTTTGTAGTTTTTATTCAATTTTACACTTTTTATTTCTAACAACTCGCAAGTAAAAGTGTTCATTAAAATTTTTCACCTATTTGGAAGTTTCACTGTAGCATTGGAAATTACATAGCATCTTTTCTCTGCTGTATTTGTGACTAGTGTTTGGATATTACCTATTAAGCTTTCTTGGCTGAGTTGTTGGGATGTGAGACTCTTAATCTCTAGGTCGCACGTTCGAATCTTAGAAATAGCCGATTTTTTTTTTGTTAATTTGAGGCATAATTATCTTTTCCTATTTCACATTGTAAAGCTGCTTTTTTGTCATGTTCTCGCTAGTGTTTGAGAAGCGCAGCTTCGCCGCTGTGTGTAACTTGTGTCCCTTTTATTTTGATTCATGCTCTTGAAAATGAGAGGCATCAAAACTAGCGTATGCAGACGGTTGTCTTTTGATAGCGCGAGATGTTTTTGATATGAATAAATTTTTTCGGTGCATTTTACACAAGTAGTTTTTCTTTTTTCCTACAAAAGTATCAATCGCATTTCTTTTCACAGCTTTACAATGAGTCTAAGCCACTCTATTAGAGCGCAATCCTTCCTATGGGATCTGAATTAGACACCATGCGTGAAGCTTTTGTTTATAAGACTCGAATAGAGTCTATAGATTTTCTGTATAGAGTCTGTCTACAGTTTGTATAGATTTTTTGTTACTTGTTTTTAAATGGTAGCTTTGACCCTGCAAATATTAGATGATAGCTTGTGCTTCTTTTGATTCTCATATTTGAGTTTGTTTTTTCTATTTTACCTAACTTTTGATATGGTTGTTTTTTGAAGGGGAATTTTTAAGACTCAATGAAATATAGGTCGCGATGATTTTTGTATTTGTTTTTTTTACGATAATTTCTAGAATTTGTTCACGCTCAAATTAGATTTTTTGCCATTTGACTTTTACTTTGTCATTTCATTTCTTTTTTTGAAATTAAGGCAAAATTCTTCACTATCGAACAGTAAAATTGTAAAGGGCATTAAAAAAGGAATCTTTTTCTAGTTTCGAATATAGATGAATGTTAATGTTGAAGTTTTCTAGCGGAATAAAAAATTTGCCGACTGATCCAGTTTTTTCAAACTGGGTTAATGTTATCAAATAAGCGTCATTCATAATTCAGAGTTTTAAAGGTATAATTTTGTGGAAATTGAAATTAGTATTTGTTTCAAAAAGACAGGCAGTTTTTTTTCTGTTTTCTTGTTTTCATTGACTCTGTTCCAACTGCTTGTTGCTCATGTTTCTTTTTTAAATATGAAAGGTTTCAAAAATTGGTTTCTCGAATTTCTTCTTGGAAATAAATTTTCTTTTTTGACAATTTTTTTAAGTTAGATCTGTCGTCTGCGAAATGTTGATGCTAGAAATATCAATTGTCAGATGTTTGATTGCTTCTGGTCGCAGGTTTTTTTTACACTTGCACTTCAACCGGGTACTTGACTTTTTTCTCGTTAGCCAATTTATTCACAAAATAGTAATTTTAGTACGAATGGTGAGTTCCACCAGCTCAGTTTCTTGAAAATTGAAATAAACTACCATTTTTGATAAGGTGGTAATTAGGTGGAGTTATTTTCAGACAGTAATTGTTTTTCAAACAAGTTTCTTTAAAACATGCTGATTTTTTTATTCATGGTTTTCGTCTTTGTCTCCGTCGATTCTTTTTCCAGAGCCTTCAGCGATTCTGCAGAAATTTGTAAACGGTTATAGAATAGAGTTTATTTTTAGTTATTTAATTATAGTTATTAATTTTGTTGGCACTCAATTATCTCTTTGGTGGTTATATTTTTGGATGTTCATTTCCGACATATTTGCTAAATGGAAGACAAATTACGCTCTGCCATAACAGAAATAAAATTGAGGACAAATAGAGTCTAATTGTTAGTTTTTAAGAGGAAGTGTAACAAAGCAATCGTTTGATATTTCTCTCTCAAATTGGATATGTTTTCTAAAAACTTCACACGTACTGTTTCTTAAAATTCAGGGCACTAAACCTAATCAAGATTCGATGAGCGACGATCAGACTCTTATGTAAGTCACGATGGGTTTTTTTTTTTTCGTTTTTTTTAGAAAAGGTCTTCAGAATTTCCAGAGTTTTTTTGTTCAGAATCAAATTATTGTTTCGTGGTTTGACTTTTGATTTCATTTTAATTTCAGTTCATTTTCTTTGTGAAACGTAACGCAAACTCCACTATCGAACAGCAAAAGTATAAAAGTCACAAAAAAGTGATCGGCTTCATTTCTCGAAAGCGGATTTTAAAGTTCAGATTTTCCAGCGGAATTAAAAAATTACCTATTGATCCGGTTTTAAATTAAGTTCGTTTTTTTTCTGTTCACTTGCGTTCATTGACTCTTTTCCAACTGTCTTTCATTAAAATTGGAAAACTAGTAATAAATCTATCTTTTTTTGGTATATTTGAGTTCCTCGGCACTTTTCCAACTTTCTGGCGGCTATGTTTATCGATTGTGAATTCATTTTCTGTGTCTTCTTCGGGTAAATTGACCCTAAGCTATAGATATACGTACGGAATGTTTAAATGGGAAACATGATTTTGCGTCAAAAACACCCCAAGATAATGTGGCTTCTCGCATTTTGGAATTTTTTTCGACTGAAACAGTTATCTACTCACTCTCCTGAACTCTTTGATATTTCACTGGTCTAAATCAAAATTTGTTTGCTTGCTTCGTTTTGTGTATGAAAAAATCCCCTTCGAAGAAAAATTTTTAACCAATTTTTCAAAGTTATGAAATTTAACCAACACGACAAGAATCAATCGTGTTAATGTGTGTGATGATGATGAAGTTTTATTGCAGTCAAATCCGCCACATTCTCTCCTGTTACACGAGCAGCATAGACGTGGAGTTGCAGCAGAGGTCAGTCGAGTACAGCACCATCTTCAAGAAATATGACTCACTCAGGTACGAGAACACATCTCTCCTATCATACGACAAGAAACTGAATTATGTTAAGTCATTCATACTACAATTTTTATCGAAGTTATGCAGATTTCATATAAATGGAAGGCTGATGTTCTATATAGCTATGATCAGCATTGTGCTGATGGGCGAGTTTTGTGTTTTTTTGATCAAAACTTTTGACCTTCGACCAAAAATTTTTAACAAAACGGCATATTTGACAGAAATTTTAGCCAAATATGTTTGTTTTCGGCAGAGCAAAAAAAAATCGAAATGACTGACCAAAAAATGGGTAGACAAAAGTTTTCAACCCTCCTTCAAATCCCCACACATCTCGACAAAACATTCCTGCGCAAGCTACTGGCCGTGATGTGTATTGAATGCCAAGAAGCGTCCCGACCATAACGTTACTGAATTGCTCAACTTAAAGTTACGACTAGGATGTGATTTATTTGATAGTTATTTAATAGGATGCGATTTTGTTTTTATTAACATTCATGCACATGCTAGTGGCCGTGATGTTTTTTGAACGCCTGGTTAACTTGATTCTGATCATTAAAATTGGTAATGTCACGATGGTTGATCAAAAGTATGATAGTTTCGTTAAATAATCAGGAATGTTAACAACGGCAGGCAATCGGAACCAGGTAATCTAAGAAGCGTTGCGACCGTTTTGATTGGTTTATATTGTTCATAACATGACCGTTTTTTAGACATGGTCTTTTGGAGTCCCTGCCACCGTTCAAAGCGGTGACACTCACAAGTTCAATCGAGTCAGGCGCAGATGCAGCTTCTGCAAGTGGAGACCCCGCAAAGCAGGCCGGCATGGCCAACGGGGGAACCACTGCTTCTCTCATGGCATCCAATGACATAATGGGTGGAGACGTCATGGGTCATGTATCCCAAACAAACAGTGTCGCCACTTCAGATGTACGTTGTTACGCTTGCGATTAGCAAGCGTAATTAGTTCGGAATATAGAATTTTTTTTTTTGCGTCAACAACTAGTTTAACAAGTTCAGTTGAATCAATTGCTGCTAATGAAAACTCAAATTTAACTACTAGGTACTAGTTCCTACTGGTACATGCTATATACAGATCGCAAATCATTGTATTTATAAATATAAAGTTTCGATATTAATTTTCTGCTGATGATTTTTCGGCTTCATGATTTTCGACTTAAGCTCTGTCGGTTTAGTTTCCAAGTTCTGTAGTCCGCTTTGCATACTTTACTTAAATAGCTATCCTGGACACTTTATGGGAGTTACATGCAATTTTGTACAATATGATTTTTTTTGACCAATATGAGTTTCAGGTTGACCTGTCGGCTTTAATTCTGTCGGCAGATTTACGTTTTTTTTCCTTAAAGTTTCCGGTAGTACTTTTGAGATTGATGATACTCTGGCACCAATATTTCAATGCAAAAAGTCAAACGCACTAGGACCTCTTGAAAAACTTTTAATTAATTTAAGCATGAAACAAAATACTTAAAAAAAACACATTTTTCCACTTGCTTCTTCAATTATATGTTTGTTCGAAGTTCTGTTGGCTAATTATTGAGCGTCGTGGTGCTTTCATACTACAGTTGTTGCATCGCAAGTGATGCGAAGCGCAGCTTCGCGTCTGTGTGTGAATTTTCGCCAAGTCTTAGAAGTCCTCATCTTTGACCATCTGATGTAAAGACAACGGTTTAGTTTCCAAAAGAATAAAATTCGGTGCAATATGTTTTGTAACTGCTCAAATTGAAATCGAGATTTTTTTTGCTTGATTGATGGTATACCTCATTAAACTACCTTTCTTGACAAAATGAAACTTGCACGTTAAAAACTAAGAGGATAATTGGAAAATAATAAATAGGCAAGACTTATTCAACTTGTCAAGGCTTTTTACTACTTAGAGACTTCCACCTTTTAATTAACGTGTTAATTTTTTGATATCAATTATCAATAATTTTGCCAAATGTGCTTGTAGTCAACGCTTCTGGATCTGCTGGGTGGCAGTCTGGGAACAGAAGCAGCTCCTGGAAGCCAAGTGAACGGATTCCACAACCACAACACATCTACTACTGGAGCGACCCAATCGAACCTCAATGACGATTTACTTGGTTTGTTCGGCAATCAGAACGCACCCCCTGCAGCTGATAATATCACAAGCATGAATATATTTGGTACGCACCCATTCTCTTATCCAAAAAGATTTTCGCAAATTTCATGAATCGTGCATGGTATCTGAATTCAGCATGGTTCTCAGATGATAACTTTATCCTACGATGCGAATTTGGAAGGATGATAAAAGAAGAAAATGTAACTTGTCTCAATTTTTCTTCTGAAGTAGCATCTAATAGCTCTAAAAAGTTTAAATATTTATAAATAATATCATCATCATATCCGAATTTTGGTTATGGTGCTGTCCCTGTCCCATCAGATGGGATTGGCAGCTCCGGGCATTGGAGAACTGCAGCTCTCCATAAAATAGTCGATGAACATAGATTCTTATATAGGTCGTGGTATTTTTTTGGGTTTAACTGAGGTGTTACGCGACAGGCGAATGCCTTTTTGGCATTTTCTCAAGGCATCAATTAAATTCCATACGTTCAATGTCATACAATGTTTGGTTATCAAATTGTGGGTTGAAAATAAAAATTTACTCCATTCTTTTTCCCAGATGCAGCAACGAAACAACAGCAGTCTGATTTCGGTGACTTCTCCCAACAACCAGAGCAGAGTTATCCCTTGACTAATGTGTACAACAAAGGTGGAGTTCAGATTGCGATAGCGGTGGTGGCTTTCGACTCCATCCAGAACCTGGTCACTCTCCAGTCGCAGACTACGAACAGTTCGAACCAGTTGGCCAAGAACTTCATCATACAAGTCGCAGTTCCAAAGGTACACAATATAATATAGTAGGTATATCATTATATAAGTTTTAAATGTGTGCTATTAGCTTCAGTTAGTGGTGGATTTATAGAGGGAGGTAAAGATACCAGAGTCGACGCCGAAAATGCTGATATAATTGCAAGATGGGCGCCTGGAGGAAGTAATAAACCGTTAAGATGTAATAAGTGTTACTAATATGCGATTTGAATTTTGAATGTGGACGTAGTTTAGAAGTCTGTTGAGTCTCAATGAACGAATAATATTGAGCTTTCAGCTTGGTTAAGTATTCAATCTGCCTGTTTGAATAAGTGTGTTAGGGAGGTCTGTTTTCACTTGCGAGAGCAAGTGATCAATTCATGCTTTTCATGCACAAAAAATTAGTTGTCTTAATAAGGCGAAAAAGCCTTACCAACAGCGAACGTTCAGCATTGCAGTCTCAATTATCTTGATTATATCACTCGCTATTCTCAAGTAAAATATAATGTAAAACGTGGCCGCTATTTTTCTCATTATTTAATTTAAAAAAAAAAAAACATTGTTACTGGCATGGTTGACTTTTTAGACGAAGTAAGGTTTAAAATATATGATGTGATGTGATGTGTTTTGTGTGCTGCAGTCGATGCAGCTGAGTCTTCTGCCACCCTCGGCCACTGACATTGCACCCGTTACTACCACAGTACCCGTGACACAGCTCATCAAAATATCAAACCCAACCAAGGTAACAACACTTGCATCCACATCACACGCGCCTCCCAGTCAGTTCCGCCCCAAAAGCAGTCAGTTCCGGAAATGACTGCTTTTAGAGCGGAAATGACTGGGTTTTTGGGGCGGAGGTGTCTGGTCACGATCATACACACCCGGGCAGAAAGATTTTGGCACTAGAATTTTTTTGTTATACCCTCAACCCACCACCACCCCCCCACACAGACACACACACACACCAACCGCATATGAAATTGCTAAGTTACAATTTCCTTTACACTCTAGCTATATTTTGCCGGTGCTGCGTGGATTGAACAAGTAGTGATCAAAACAAAACTTTTTTTCTTGTAGTTTTTGCGCTCTAAAAACATGGAGTGAAAACATCTTTAAAAAAAGCTATATACAGAATCACTTGTAACCACCGAAGATTTATTAAAAAGATTGGTATGTATTGGGTAACTCACCGCAATCCTTGAAAATGTGAATTAATCCCAGAAACAACCATTTAAAATCTCTTCAACTCAAAAATTCTGAACTGCATTTTTTCGCTGCAGAAACATTGGTCCTTATTGTTTTTCTATAATTTAGCAAAAACTGAGATTACGTGTCAAATTGAGCTACGTCGTGAACGAAGTCCCCCAGCAAGAAATGATTGAAGTGAACAATTTGCCTCCCCTGCCCGGCTGGTGATGACGTCATAATTGCCTCCCCTTTTTCAATCGAGAACAGAGCAGATAGTCATTACTTGGCAGTAGTTGTTCAAGGCCAATCGATGTTTCACTTCATATGAAAACTTACCAACGGCAGTGACCTTATTCGAATCAGTTTCAACGTACACAACTTCATAGTGATGTATGATCCTATTTGAGTTTTGATTTTGGCCCAATTGCAATTAGATCGCTGGTTTTCGATTTACGTGTGCTTATTTACTTGTCTCGCCAGTCTATCTTTTTTGATATTATTCCATATCTTTTCAACCCAAACAGCTTCAGCCCATTCAAGCATGTGCAGCGGATAAATTGTAGTATTTTGAGCTCAACTGTGTAATTAATCCAGAGCTTCTTCCACAACGAAAACTCGTTCAGTTTGTTAACCTTTAACACAGGGGCGGATCCAGGATTTTTGCAAAGCGAGTCAAAATTTTTAAAGAGAAAAGGCCAAAAATTCCGTTCTGGGACCCCTTCATTTGGAGGGTATTGACCGCCAAATTGTCTTTTTTGTCGAATATTAATTGGTCGGCCTAAAATGGATGTAGTAACAGAGTACCAACCATTGGCTGTTTGGGTGGCTAGGGGGCGCGCGTTCCTAAATCCGCCCCTTCCTAAACAACAGTTTTGGCAAAGTTATAACAATAAATGTTAAGAATTATGAAATCAAGAACTGCGAGACCAAAATATGAAACGAATCAGAAAAACATGCACAAGTTCCGGTTTTAATTTTCTGTCAGATTTTTGCCTTTTTTATGAAATTGAAAATGAGTTTTGCAGATTTTCATATGGAATTCAATTCCAATAAATTTCCATGGTTGCTCGTTATGCAATCCTTTCTCTCAAATGGCCTCGCAATGAAGCGCAATGAATATCATATCATTTAATGTCAGTGCTAGTCGAAAATGAAACTATTAGTATACTATAAGATGGGGCTATTCTCATGCGCGAGGAACCGAATTGGCAAAAATTCTCAACTTATCAATCTCCGTTCCTTAAATTGTCCAAAATTGACTGATTTTATTGCTTTTTTCGAATTCATGAATAATGAGAATTCCTATTTGCTGACAAAGTTTTCGCTCATGAGGTATTCACGTCTATAAATAAGATAGCGACTGTTTCTGATGACGTGACCTTGTTATAAATAAAGGGTCAAAACACAAAATCATTATACTGATCACGTTAATCATAAGTCTGAATTGAAAATGTCCCTTTTGATATGTTTTAGTCAGTATATATTTTATTTATTTTTGCTGAGCCGGAAAATGTTATATTGACGATTGGAGTTGTTAGATGAATAATTTGGGTGAATTTAAATTATACGTGTATGAGTCAAGTAATACAGTTAATAATGTGTATCATTGTTCCATTCAAAGCAGACGTTTTACGCCGCCTTGTATATAAATGAAAATTATGAAAATACTTTTTGATATTGTTTGTTTTTATCAAGTTTAGAAGCTTAATCCGTTCTATAGACGATTTGGATCTATTAAACAATTCAATTCTCCCCCCCCCCCCCATGATTTCTTTTGTATCAAAGTCCTTAATATAGCAATTATCATTCAGGTTTGAGGACATTTAACGGCAAATCATTTTGATTGCAATCAAACATTGGATTGTAATTTTGTGGAAAAAATGGAAGTGAAGCTTTGTTAACAGTCGAAATGAAAACTTTCCCGTTATTTTGACAAGCGGAGGTGAAGTTGACAGTTATTTAGGTTTGTAATATATAGCATAATCTATATCATATCGACTTAATTGAAGTACGTTTGTTTCTATTCGTTTTTTTCTACGCAAATGAATGAATGCGACTATTTAGGCCCCTCGTTTATTGCCCCTGGAAAATGAAGGTCAAGGATCGGTTTTGGTTGAAGTTAGATGTGTGTGCTTAATACGCGGAAACGCATATTAACTGTCATGAAAGTAGTAAAGAAATGTAGGTCGTGTTGTTATTTTTTTCATGCTCAAATTTGAGCTTCCGGGATTTGACTTTAATATCTTAAGTATATTTAATTTTCTTTGTTTACACCAGCATAGTGTTTTAATACCTTCTTCTTTTAAGATTAATGAACCTAGTGAAGACTCTTATTTAGGTCTTATTGGTTTTTTTTTCAGTAAAAATTCGTAAAGTCTCTAATAGCTACAGATATGCATTCATACATTTTTATGCATTTCTGAATGCACTTAGATATATATGCCTTTTTTGAGTTCAGTTGAAATTAATTTGCTGAAAGTGACGTATATAGAACTCTCCAAATACGAACCTGGAAATGGCGCGAAAAAATGTGAACGATTTCTAGTTTCGAAAGTCGAATTTAATTTTTAGATTTCAAGCGGAGTAAAAATTTAAACTGTTGATCCAGTTTTCTCAAGTTGGGTTGATGTTATCAAATCAGCTCCCAGCATAAATCATTCTAGAGATTCAAAGAGCTGAAAGGGCATCTTTTTTTTCTTTGAAATTCGAAAGTTGAGATTTTTTCAACGAAGTCATTATTTTTTTATGTTTACTTGCGTTCATTACTCTTTTTCAATCTTCGATTGGCTATGCTCTAACCTAACTCGCAAATAAAAAGGTTCATTAAAAGTTTTCACTTACTTGGCGGCACTTTCTGTATAACCACGATCTTAAGCATTGGTAATTTCAAAGCATCTGTTCTCTGCTGGTGCTCTGTTAGTGAGTTATTCATAGCATCTGTTCTCTGTTTGTGATTTGTTAAGCATCCGTGGCTGAGTGTTTAGTGCGTGATACTCATAATCTCTAGGTCGCAGAATGAATCCAAGAGGTAGCTGATTTTTTTTTTACTATTTCGAACTTATTTCTATTTTTTGCCCTTTAAGAGTGCTGATTTTCGTCGGGTTCTACCTAGTGTTTGCGAAGCGATGCTTCGCTTCTGTGTCAATGGAAGGCAAATTCCTCTATCGAACATAGAAAGTGTAAAGGCCACGAAAAACGTGATCGACTTGAAGTATGAATATGAAGATAAGTTATCAGACTCCCAGCGAAATATAACTTTTTACCTATTGATCCAGTTTCCTCAAATTGGGCTAATTTTATCAAAAAAGTGTCCATAATAAATTGTTCTGCACATGCAAACAATTTTGAGGCCATCTATTTTTTTTCTTCGAAATCAAAAGTTGAAGGTTGAAAAAAAAACAAGTCAGTTTTTTTTTCAGTTTCCTTGCGTTCATTACTCTTCCAACTGTCAGTTGGCGATGTTTACGTAATTATTATGCAAATTTGCACGTTTGCAACATTTTCTCATATCTTATCGGCTGCTTGCAGTAGACCCTGAAATGAAATGGCTTGATTTGATAGACAATTTTGAAACTACAACTCATATGTTTTTGTTTTCCCCAAAATATGCATGTTAAAAACAAGTGATAAGAGCAAGTAAACCTGTTGTACAGACGTAAGGTCGGTGAAATGTTATAATAGGTGGTACTTTTGAGTGGAATGTATTTATTAAGTTTGAGAACTATAATTCATAACATAGTAATTTCATTTTCAATCAATTATACTACGATTAAGATAATTTTTGTGGATACAGTACTCTGCCAGATAAAATGCAATTCAAAATTTACACTTTTGCCAAAAAAATTAGTTTTGAAACAAATTATTAACAATGTGCTACTTATATAGCTATTGTGGATCTTTGTGGGCGTTACATCCAATTATGACGAAACTTGACGAAAATTTTTAGCTGAGTTTCAGCTTATTGGCTGTCGGTTTTAGTTCTGTCGGCTTGTTTACCGATATTTTTTTTTCTCTTAATGCCCACCACCACGTTTGACTTCTTTAAGATTATCACCAGTTTTTAAAAGCCCGAAGTTAACTCAACTAGAACCTTTGAAAAACTTAAATAAAATAAAACACGAAATGAAAAAAAGTACTTTGTTTATAATTTTTTTTTTCGTTTTTCCACTTCCTATTTCAATTGTAACATTTTTGAACGACGAGTTAGCTATGTTTGTTCTGGAGGTTCGAAAATTATTTTATTTGAAACGACCACAAATTCAATGACTACACGAAGCTAAATTATACCCATGGTTGAAATATCGGACAAATGGAGCATGACTTGTTTCATAAGATAGTTTGATTTTATTGTTTGAGAGATCTCGAAATAGAGATAACATTTTGGCTTTGGCAAAGTTTTCTCAAAACGGATTGGATTTATTTTAAAAAAATTGACAGTCAACTTTTTTCGCATTAGTCAAATTTTGAACCTTAGAGCAATTGCGTATAATCAGCCGTATGTACTTCATCAAAGCGTAATATTTGCTACCTGGTATTTTATGTTCAACTTTGCATGAAGTAGTATGAGGCAAGGCGCCATGGCTAAGTGTTTTTTTTTGTATTGCATTTTGTTTCCTTTGTTAAAAAGAAGGCAAACTCTCCAATAGTACAGCAAAAATAAAAAGGTCACCAAAAATGCGATAGATTCTAATTTCGAAAACGGAATTTAATTATCAGATTATTGAGCGAAATAAAATGTTAAGCTATTAATCCAATTTTATCAAATCGGGTTAATTTTTATCAAAAAAGGGTCAAATATATTTTGCTCGTGAAGAGCTTTAAGGGCATATAATATTTCTTTAAAATTCGCAAGTTCAAGTTTTTTCCGAAAATAAGTCGGTGATATTTTTCTGTTTTTTTTTCATTTAGTTTCTGTGTATATTGGCTTCCGTGAAATCAATAACAGTTCTCCAACTGTCTTCTCTGTATCTGATTTCTGTATCTGTTTAAATGCTTTTGTATGTAGCCTAGAATTTTAGAAAACAAGTCGGTGATATTTTTCTGTTTCCTTCATTTAGTTTCTGTGTATATTGGCTTCCGTGAAATCAATAACAGTTCTCCAACTGTCTTCTCTGTATCTGATTTATTTATCTGTTTAAATGGTTTTTTATGTAGTCTGAAATTTTAGAAAACAAGTCGGTGATATTTTTCTGTTTCCTTCATTTAGTTTCTGTGTATATTGGCTTCCGTGAAATCAATAACAGTTCTCCAACTGTCTTCTATGTATCTGATTTCTGTATCTGTTTAAATGCTTTTGTATTAGTCGAGAATTTTAGATGTTCACTCTTGATATTTGGTGCTCGATTGTTATTGGCAGATCGCTTTTTCTATTCATTCGACCTTTCTGTTGTGGGTTATTGATTGTTATGATTAATTGTGAGTATCGTAAAAAATACTGGTATGTTTTATTTTAAATTAAATTAATTTTCAGTTGTTGTAATGGTGTGTAGTAGTTCAGCTTGCTTTTTGCTTCTATCGCTCTACTCAGTGTTTTTTGAGATGACTCATTGCCACGAGGGACCTCACGAGCCTTTGAACATGGACCAGATCAGAACAAAGTTTGAGAAACTTAGAAAAGGAGATCTGGACTCTGAAGACGAGTAAGTGTATATTTTGTGCTAATTTCATCCAATTTTTTTCAACAAATTAGATGATGTTTCATGGAAACTTATGGCTTTATGCTCATGCATCTCACCGAAACCTTAATTATACTTTCACAAGCAGCTATGAGTTCATGGTTTACCAATAAAAGGGTATAAACAAAAATAAAGTATTCTACAGATTTTGTGGACTATCATGAATCGAAACCTGACTGAAAATGTTTCTGGCTTAGCTTATTCGGATTTATTTTTCTTCGTGCAAATTTTCCCAGGTATATATGGTGCGTGGAACCGTAATAATAGTTTCCTACATTGGTATTAATAGTTCTTCCATATCAATAGAAGTTGAGGTGACAATTAGCAAGAATCGATGCTTGTAATTATGTAGATGCTCACCCGCTTATATTCAATTAGCATTGACGTTCAATTTTGTATGGCATTGATGTTTGTGTTGTGGACGTTGTGTTGATATTATTATTGTTGATATTGTTGCTTCTATGATTGCAGCCACATCAAGGAGCACCTGGAGGAGATCTCTCGGATCCCGGAGGAGGAGATGACGAGGGAGCAGAAGCACTTCCACTACTTCATCCTCCACGATACAGACAAGAACTACAAGATAGACGGGCTCGAGATACTACACGCCATGTTCCACAGAGATGTAAGACACGCTCACCTCCCCTACCCCCCCCCCTCTCTCTCTCTCTTTCTCTCTCTCTCTCTCTCTCTCTCTCTCTCTCTCTCTCTCTCTCTTTCACACACACACTCATCCTCCTTTTTCGTTTAGAACGAGTCATATTTCGCCCCACATTTATTATGACAGTTTGTTTGTGTGAGATATTTGGGTCGAATTGTGCCTTTTAATTTAAGAGGGCGAAATTTAAGTGGATCCTTTTTTGGGATCGAGTCTTTGAGAAATCTCTGTACACCTTGAATATCGATCAGTTTAGTTAGTAGTCGAGTGTCGAGATCTTGCAATTTCGATAAAGTCTTCATTTTATCAGAACAATGTGGGTTTTCTGGAGAGTTTTGAACACATTGTAGCATTTTTCAGGGTGGAAAATTTTCCTCTGTTTTATTGGAGTTGATCGTGTGAATTTCGGGAGGCAAAAGTTTGCAACAGTTTCGAATAGATTTTAGATTTGTAAACCTTAGATTTGTAAAAAAAATTACCTATTGATCCAGTTTTCTCAAAATCATTGATCCAGTTTTCTCAGTTACCTATTTGAGTCAATCATGAGTTTTCTTGAAATTTAAAGAGCTTTCAAGGAATTTTTTTCCTTTGAAATTTGAAAGTTCATGACTTTTTTCCAACTGTCTGCGCTGGCTACGTTTTTTTTTTCAGTTTCGATGTACTTGTTTTTCAGACAACTTTGGAGTGGAATTCCAAGGAAATGTTAGGCCTGGTGGATAATCTGCTAGGCGAGCGAGACAGCAACAATGATGGCTTCATCGACTACTACGAATTCAGGACCATGTTGACCATTTAGCCTCTGTCTGCTAAGCAGAAAGTTTAGTTTAGCAAGTGCACTTACCATATCGAAAAGCACCTTTCATTTATCAATCGATATCGATGCCTTCTTACCTAGTTGTGTACATTAACAGAGCTATATATTCAGTTGACTAGCGATGCTCATTTGCTCTGCAGTCATTAGGTTTATTGAAATGTGAGAGAAATTGGAGAAGAACTTACGAAGCTTGTATAATCAAGTTCCCTATCCGAATGTGAAGTTATGCTACCCTAGTCGAACTCGAAACTTCCAGGCGCTTGTATATTCATTCATAAGGCTATCAGAATCTTGTAAGGCATCGTACAAACTAGACAATGTTAGTAGGAATCTTACAAGAAACAGTTTTTTTTTCTGTCAGAATCTTAAAAGACACAATTTTCTGCTAAATTTTAGAAGACATACATTTTTTTCTTAGAATCTTACGTGACACTTTTGTCCGATCAGAATCTAACAAGACTTAATTTTTATACCAGAACAGTAGATGACATGCTATTTTCTATAGGATTTTCGATCTTCACATGGTATTCTTTAAAGCATAGTCGGTCTTCACATGGTCAGAACCTTAAAGCATAGTCGGTCTCACGCCTAAATTTAGCTTCAAAGCTATTGTAATTACGGAGATAATGCGCTTAAATCTGTTTTTTTTACGCGTAAATTTTGACCTTTTTGTCGAAAAGTTGTGAAAATCATCAAACTACTCCTAAGTCAATTTTTAGACTGGGATCTCAACAACAACTCGCTAAGTAAATTAGACCACGTATGAGTCAATTTACACTTGATCGGTACGATTTAATCTGCTATATGCGCGATTGCATCTGTCATATAAGATCTTGTATCTGGGTCGTGTATCAAACTTTCAGTTAGCCTCCCACCATTATTAGCCAATCCGATTGAAGCTGCGAAGTTGCGCGTTTTTTTTTTTGAGAATTTGAAATAGTTTGCGTCAAATAGGATCTCAAATAAATTGGAAATTTAAGTTTGTCTAGCATATATTGTGACTCTTGTCTCTTAATAAAAAGCAACATAAAAAGCAAAATAAAAAACAGACTCCTGAAAAGTTCCCTCAACTTATCCAAGATTCTCAGCTGCAAAAATTTAACTGCTTACGTCGGACGAAACGTTTGCTAGGAATAAAGGGTCCGTTCTACTTTCTGATTTGAAAATTAAACTGTAACGTGCTGATAAAAATTTTATTAGCATCGAAATTAATGATATATAAAATTATTGTGGCAGTTTCCCTTTAGAGTCGAGATTTCAGAAATGAGAAGATGAAAATTTTTCGTGAATTAACGTAGCCGCAAAAACCATTTTGTATGAGAATAATCTAAGACTGCTAGGTATAAAAGCTCTTTACCTTCTGCGTTTGAGGTAAACTAAAATTTGCTGAAAATTTATTAGCGACGAGATTTGATCTAAATAGAGGAATACAAAATAGACTAAGCGGAGAATAAACGACACCGAAATAACCATTCTACAGGTTTAGACAACCGAAGCATATTGCGATAGTAACATGCAACTTTTTTCCCAAGCTAAGTCGCAAATAAAAATGCCACTCTCGTTGGTCTTATCTACCACACTCACTGGTTTGTAAGGTTGAGCTTTTCCCATTTTCACTTCTCTGTTTTCTTTCGGGACTTTGGTCTTGTGATGCGTTGGTATCCGGTGGCCCTTGAAAGTGAGCTTGAGGCTTCACAAGTTTTGTTTCACCTCGTTTCCTAAGTGCTTTACTAAGCGATCGTTGCTGGTTGAATGCTTAGTAATTTTATCCTAAGTTATAAGTCTCACCTTAAATCGTCAAATTGTCTTGACAAAAAGTAGAGTAGAAACAATAGTTAGAAAAAGTATGAATTAGTTAGTTGGTTAAATACAAAGCACTGGGTAATTAGATTATATAAACGAATCGAACAGCTTAAAGAAATATACCTATGAGGTGAGGTTGAGTTAATCTTATTTTGTTCATCAATATTTTATCTTCTTACTAAGGTCGATGACTGAGTAGTATTTCTTGGGTTGCCCTTGATTTTGTCCACTTGGCACTTCTGGTTTGGTTGTCAGTTTTGTCTTGCCGTAGTCCTTTGGGTACTTGTAGTCAAGACTTCCTCAGGTGTGGGTATCTCGAGTATCTCGATTTAGAATTTTATCGAACTTGAAATGAAAATTTATTCTCTATTTTATTTGTGAAAAAAGGCTAGTTTAATTTTACTGTAAAGGCAGAAAAGAAAAATTATTTATTTTTTGAAAAGGTCTAACTGAAAAGATCTAACTTGCTGCTTACTGAGCAAAATGAAACACTGAAGATTTCAGGCCAGTCCTTTTGCTCGTAAGCATAAACCGGCGGCTGATTCAATCTTTAATTATTCAGGTTTCACCTGCTCCTTTGTTCTCCCTTTCTTATAAGGGAATTTTCAACTAGTTTTTATTTGATTTTTTCAAATCAAATATCTTAAACTTATTAGTCCTCTTTGATAAAAACCACAGCCTTCAGTTTGTCTGATTAAAAATTCATATTACTCTCTCTGATGCATCATATTGCAGGTGCATCTCTGCTTAATCAAAGCAAGGAGAATTTCAGTGCAGCCGGCAAGACTGCTAATTATTTATCCAGTTTGTTTCAAGTTAAGTTAAAAGGGACGTATTAATAATCGCCGCCCTTTTAAAATATTGAGCATGAAAAAATGAGAAAAATTGGACAAGGATTTAAAAAGGAGTGGATTTTCAAAACAAGATTTTGTAGTCCTAATAAGAGTAAATCAGTCAATATCTGATTTAGTGAAAAGAGGCTTTAATTTAAATGGCACGCTCCAATTTAGAATTGGGTCCATAAATATACAATTAAGACAATGGTCTTTTGTCTGTGTAGTATTTCTCAATACTACAACTCACCCCCTTTTTTAGAAAATTTAGCTGTTCGATTCTTACAGTTACCATGGTGGAAATTTAAACACTTTAATGGTTAAATACTATAGTTATAAAATTTAAAAAGAACATCTAATGAAAAAGTTATAAAGATAGGTTAGGTTTCATATAGAGCTTCCTTCCGGCTTCTAGCTCCACGTTGTATGATCTGAGGATCGCTATCTTCCTCTGTGAAGCCTCGAGTTTTTGTTGCAATTTCACGATTTTCTTCTTTTTGATTTTGTTCTTGATTCGCAGTCAGCTCATTCCGTCCGTAAGTTCTTGAATGTCTTCTTGTTCTTCCTGTTTGTTTTTTACATGATTCGGAAAGGCAGTTATTCCCTCAAACGGGATGGTGACTTGCGTGCCTCCTGCCTTGAGGATGTAGCCGTGTTCCTCCCTCTTCTTTAATTTCCAGAAGTTGGTTTCGTTCTTTATAACATCTTCTTGCTGGATTATGAACTCGATAGGCATCATCGCCTTTTCCATTGTCGTTGAGTTGACGACTTCAATAAACGATGGCAGTTTCCATCTGTTATAATTTTGCTTTATTGAGTACTTCAAACTCGTTATAAATTTTGGATTTTCCGTATCCAATTTGGCTTCTCTGCACTTCTGCAGTTCCAATCTTTGAGTCAAACTGGGAAAACTCCGAAGATTCTTATTTAACCCGTCGTCCATTGACAAAGATTGTACTGCTACATGTTTTCGTTGTTTCTTCCTGAGAGGCAGCCTTCTTTTAAACTCCTCTGGTGCTGGGTCTGCATTTCTGCAGTTCCAGTTTAAAATTGGGTCATACTCCATTTTGCTAAACATCAATATAAAATGACCAAATATTCAAAATCCCGAATTACATTCGGATATTAAGGCTAATTATCAAATGTTTGAACAATGAAGGACAAAGTGTAAAATTGTATATTTATAAAAGGTGGAAAATATAATCTTGTGGTTTCACACAAACCCACCACGGAAAACAAATGAAGAAAAACGATCATGGTGTTTATTAACCACAGGAATAAAGCACTTTACAACACTGAGTTAAGCTCAGATATGAAACTTGAAGCAAAAATGCAAATGTAGTTAAAGCAAAAAAATAGAAATTTGGGCATTAACTAACCCCTAATCTTAAATGTATGTCCACCTGGGGTCATCCACAGGCTTACCATGGTGTACCCTTTTATAGGTAAAAGGGACTAGAAAAAACCGGGGGGGGTAAATAGTATATAATATAGCATGTTTAAAGGATATTTTGTGTTTACTGTTGTTTATAAAGATATAAAAATTGTGAGAAAATTACTGAAGGGTTGAGGCCTTACCAAATGTAGGAGTGTAGAGGAATTGCATAAGGACATCGTATAGTGTGGAGATTTAATTCCAGGGGTCGGAAAAACCGCAAGGGATGGCATAAGGGACAAACTTTTGCAGTATTAGGGAGGCATCTTGTACAAATAGTGATACCTTGATGGCAATCAGTAAGATGTTGATAGCTTGCCATACTTTGGGTCTGGGTATTTCCCCAATTTGCGCTTTTAACCATACTATCGCATGAACAACAAGGGGAATAATATGAAAGTGATTGGGTATAATTTGGGACTTGGCAAATGGGGCATAAAATTTGTCCATATTTAGAAAAATGAGCTACAATTTGCTCATGACAGTCTATACAGATAAAGTGTGGTGGATGATGTGGCTCGTTATTATGTTGTTTCTTGAATTTGGATTTTGGTAAGTAGCAAATCGAGCATTCAAGAGTGGGTTGTTGAATGGTTTTTCGAAAGTACTGTAAAATGGGTTGAGAAACATAAAGAAAACTTTGGAAATAAAAATAACAAGCTTGAAAAATTTTACATATAAAAGCTGGTAAAGTTATCTGAATCATTTTTAAAGAAGGAAAGATTAAAGAATAAGTCGATTGGAGGTTTGGAAATTGATGTCGATAACATCTTCGTCCTTGTTGAACGCATTTATGATAATATTAAAAAATCTACTGCTGCTTTTGACAGTAAATTTTTTCTTCATCGTGGAAGCCAGGACTAAAACGTTTGCAAAAATTATCCAACTGCTGTTGATCGGGATGAATATAAATACGATTTGTGCGAGCTTGGTAACCGTCAACTTGGACGAGGAGATTATAATCAAGGACAAAATCAATGTCCATTACCAAGCAGAACATTTTGCAACTTCCTAAACAAACAGCATAATTGTTTATTCATTTTTTATTGCCTTTACAGGTCTGGCATTCGTTAATTTGTTCGAAATTTAGTACGTGAACATCCTGGCGGCATATTGAGCATAAGAATTTGTCAAAAATTAAGTTAGTTTTGGATTTAAGAGTCATGTAGCATTCATTACAAATAAAATGAAAGGGTTGTGGATACTTTCTTTTGTGAAGTTTTCTTAATTGAAGGGT